GTTGACCTGTTCGTTGTCCTCCCAAAGTTATGAGAAACATCTTTTGTCGCTGACTATTGGGAAGCCCCTCAGCTGCCTGTAATTTCCGCTAGAGACACATGGGCTCACTCCTTGACATTTAGCTATGGGATTGCCCTGACTTGCTTCATGGATTTTTCTTAAGTGCCTGTGATCTTAACACCTGGTTTCTACTGATAGTCCCTGACTTACAACCATTCATTTAGTGGCCGTTCAAAGTTACAACAGCACTGAAAAAAGTGACATGACCATTTTTCATACGACTATTGAGGCATCCCTTTAGTCACGTGATCAAAATTCAGACACTTGGCAAATGACTCATATTTATGACGGTTGCAGACTCCTGGGGTCATATAATCTCCTTTTGTAAGTCTTCTGATAATCAAAGTCAATGAGGAAGCCAGATCCACTTAACAACCGTGCTACTAACTTAAGAACTGCAGAGATTCACTTAACAACTGTGGCAAGAAAGGTGGTAAAATGGAGCAAAACTCACTTAACAACTATCTCACTTAGCAACAGAAACATTGGGCTCAATCGTGATCGTAAATAGAGGATTAGCTGTATTTTGTAAAAAAAAAAAAAGTCAAGACTGATTTCAATTTTTGTGTAAAATGTGTTGATTTGGGAATTATGTGTTGCAAAATGTTCTGTTCCTTTATGAACCCTGCTGGGCCTCCAGAGGGGGGTTGTGGGAAGGTGATTAAAGGACTTGGAAAGTAAATTCTGCAACAAAGCCTGTTGGCTGGACAAGGACTAAGACTCATAAAGGGTTGACTTTCTCTTTCAAGATCTTGGATGATGGAGAACCTATTTATGATATTTCCCAAGTAACTGGAGATCCTTCTAATGTTTGCAGATTGATTTCAGAGCGCGGACTTCCAGCTTTGTGCAATTTGTTCGACAATGTAACGTTCAAAGGTAAAGGTCACGAGGTAAGAAATGGCTGAGAAAAAAAATTGTGGATTTTTGTAGTTGTTGTACCCATATATAGTCTAAAATATGTCAAAGTTGTAATGTCTTTGATATACTGGCTGAAATTTCCAGAGCTTCCATGCCAGCCTGTTTAGCTTTATTTTAAGTAGTTGTGCATATATAGAATTGATTATTTTAAGTATTTTTTGTTTGATTTTATACTTCTGCAACTGTTGAGGCTCCATCTCTGCAGACAAAATAATTATTCAAATAAAGATATTCTGGATAATAATGAAATGACAGACATAGTACAGGTAGTCCTTGACTTATGGTCACAATTGAGCCCCAAATTTCTGTTGCTAAGTGAGACATTAGTTAAGTGAGTTTTACCCCATTTTACGACCTTTCTTGCCACAGTTGTTAAGTGAATCCAGCAGTTGTTAACTTAGTAATTCAGCTGTTGAGTGAATCTGGCTTCTTCCTGGACTTTCCTTGTCAGAAAGTCGGAAAAGGGGATTGCATGATTCTCCGGGACACTGCAGCTGTCATAAACATGAGTCAGTTGTCAAACATCCGAATGTAAATCAGATGATCATGGAGATGCTGCAATGGTCATAAGTGTGAAAACTGGTCATAAGTCACTTTACAGTGCTGTTATACCTTCAAGTCGTCACTAAATGAACTGTTGTAAGTTGAGGACTACCTGAATGCAGTCTCAAGACACAACAATCTGAATACAACATCTTAAAAACAGAAACAAAAAAAAGGAGAAGTGCATTCTAATATTAAGATGTGGGGTTCTAAAAGTTCTTTTCTGAATGCTCTTGCGGCATTTAACCTGTTTATAAGGCTATTATACGGTCAGAAATGGGTGTGGTGCTAACAGGGAGAGGCCAGGAGAGGCTAAAATGCTGCATTTTCTTCATATACTTGAGGGGCTGGCCCAAAGAAAGAGGGGGTCAACTTATTTTCCAAAGCACCAGAAGGCAGGACAAGAAACAATGGTTGGAAACTAATCACAGAGAGAAGCAATCTGGAATTAAGGAGAAACTTCCTAACAGAGAGGACAGTTCACCAATGGAACAGCTTACCTCTAGAAATTGTGGGTGCTCCATCACTGGAAGTTTTTTTTAAAAAAAGACTGGAGAGCAGCTTGTCTGAGATGGTATAGGTTCTCCTGTTTGAGCAGAGGGCTGGACTAGAAGACCTCCAAGATTCCTTCCAACTCATTCATTCTATTCTACTTCAAATGCCTAATGCAGAAATAATTATTGCCATTGATGTAAAAGAGCCAGTCCAATTCAGATGGAAAGCCAAGGTGTTTCTAGCATCTCAAGGTGAGATGCTAGCCGAGGTGGCGCAGTGGTTAAATGCAGCACTGCAGGCTACTTCAGCTGACTGCAGTTCTGCAGTTCGGCTGTTCAA